ACCATTACTACAGCACTGACAAAACTATTGAATCTGTTTTAAAATATGAAAACAATACAAACATAAACTAAACAAAAACTGCTCCAAAGCCCTGGATAGAAATTCATTAATTCGACATGATTGCTTAATGTCATAATGTTTGACTTGACTTGATTGAATGTCATTTTAACATTCATAAACTCAAAAAAGTGCACTTGAAACGTGATTGATAATTAAACTGTCACAAGATTAGAACATCATCAATGACGTCAGGGTTGCCAACAGTCCCATATTAGCAAAGACATTTTTTTATATGTGAGTGGAAATGCGGTTGGTGGTCTGAGGTTCACAGTTCCTCGCCGAACACCAGCCCAGCAGCATTTTGGTCAAAAAGCAATTACAGGGACAGGTTACACTTGAAGTAAGATTAATAAAAGTAAAAGTAGTAAAAGTAAAATGTGTGTGTAATGTTTTGAATGTATTAGCATTTATTATGAGTTTTATTTGTCCTTTATTTTTATTTCTAAATTTGTTAGTTGTGAGTATAAATGTTGTTTTATATATTTATATACCTGTATAAAAACTGTATAAAATATGCTAAAAGGGTTAATGGTTCCTTTTTCTACTCAAACCCTGGTTTGAGCTTATTGGGTTATTTTTGGGGTTATTTAAAGGGGTCATTGGATGCCCATTTTCCACAAGTTGATATGACTCTTTAGGGTCTTTATGAAAAGTCTGTAACATAGTTTGGTTAAAATTTCTCAATGGTAGTGTAAAAAACACCTTTTTTTACCCTGACAAAAACAGCTCTTTTCAGAGCAAGCCATTTTGTAGCATTTTCCTTTAAATGCAAATGAGCTCTACTGACCCCGCCCCTATCTTCCAAGCCGCTCTCTGAGGGACTGTTTACTTTAGCCGCATTCATCGTGAAACTTGCTAATTAGCACATTATTAGGAAAGGCGATTTGCAAAGATTCATTAAAAAACCTTATACTTACTTCTTCTGGAGGTGAAGCTAGATCACGAATGATTTGCGTGAACCTAAATGCATTTAGGTAGATCGGGGGCGCATTCCCTTGAAAAACAAATATAATTCACTGCCAGTTCAGCGGCTCAGATGTCGGGAGTAAATGATGACTGCTATGTTCATTATTACATCCAACAACAGAACACCTCAATCGCTTAGGAGTCATGACAGGCATCTGAGAACGGCTTGATTTGAGAAAGGGGAAATGATTTAACGAGATTAAGAAAAACACTGGGTGGATTTCTATCGTTATAGGGTGGTTGTGTACACACACACTGCTAACACACATTTCAGTTCAAACTACTTGTAAAAGTGCATGTAGCATCCGATGACCCCTTTATGTTTTTGTGTTATCCAGCTGCTGGGTTAGTGCAGTGCAATTCAATTAGTGCTGAGGTAGGTCAAGGGGGAGTGGGGCCATCCCGATCTTTTTCGGGGAGGCATATAAAATGATAACTTAAATACACATGCATATTCAGCAGTAAAAAATACAAATGCATGTGACAACAATGACATATAAAACGTCCCACCTGATTTTAATAGGACACTTGGTAAAAGTGCATGGAGCCAGGGACAGTGTGAATGGAAGGACTGTATATTGGTAAGCCACCCCCTCAAACACAAAACTCAAGAATGGCCTGTGATGGGAGGCTATTTTGATATGAAAGCAAGCATCTTCCAGATCCACTGAGAAAAAAAAACTAAACAAAAAAAGTCCCCTGGGCAAACCTGCACGAGGACCTGTTTTAAAGTCAGCATCCTGAATGGCTGCCTCATTAAGCCGTGCGCGATTCAGGAGCCTGAGATCATGGATGTGCCTGAGCCCACCATCTTTCTTTGGAACGAGGATGTTCATGTTTAATATTTTCTGATTAATTATGCACATAAAGAAATATTTTTGTGTTGTATCAGTAACCTGTGTCGGCAGTGTGCAGAAGACACACCTATCTAAACGATTTCACATTTGCCCTTCACGAAAAGACCATAAACATTACCAATAGTGGCCATAGTAAAAATTAATCTACATACACATATCCTAAGAACTAATCCTGTGTGACTGATACACTTAAAATCGGATGATTTTACGTCAAGGTTTTAGCTGTCAGTCAAAGATGCGTTCTGTCAGTAGGGAACAGCAATATTTCAGTACATTTCCAGTGGCTTCACCGCCTAATGGCAGTTTAGAACGCAATGAGCAATCAAGTCATTAGAGACCAGTGGTTTACACACCTATCTAAACGATTTCACATTTGCCCTTCACGAAAAGACCATAAACATTACCAATAGTGGCCATAGTAAAAATTAATCTACATACACATATCCTAAGAACTAATCCTGTGTGACTGATACGCTTAAAATCGGATGATTTTATGGCAAGGTTTTAGCTGTCAGTCAAAGATGCGTTCTGTCAGTATAGGAATAGCAATATTTCAGTACATTTCCAGTGGCTTCACCGCCTAATGGCAGTTTAGAACACAATGAGCAATCAAGTCATTAGAGACCAGTGGTTTCCATTGAAAAAAATATGCAAAACAGCGCAGTGGAATGCACAAACATGTTCTGTGTGAGTGATCCCTTCCTCTTTCATAATCTGAATTAAAAGTGTGCATAACTTGCAGAAGCAAGCAAATCATGTTTTGCTTTGAACTGAATGAAGTCAAGAGGTTTGTGTGAGAGTTAGTTGTAATGAATATAATTATCTTAGTATGAAATCCAGAATCTATGTGAGATCTCTCAAAGATCTATGTGTGATTCCTGTGACATGTAAAATAAGCATACATTTATATTCAAATAAAAAAAACAGCGCAGTGGAATGCACAAACATGTTCTGTGTGAGTGATCCCTTCCTCTTTCATCATTTGAATTAAAAGTGTGCATAACTTGCAGAAGCTGGCTTGTAAGCAAATCATGTTTTGCTTTGAACTGAATGAAGTCAAGAGGTTTGTGTGAGAGTTAGTTGTAATGAATATAATTATCTTAGCATGAAATTCAGAATCTATGTGAGATCCTCACTAATATTCAAAGATCTGTGTGTGATTCCTGTGACATGTAAAATAAGCATACATTTACAGTATCTCACAGAAGTGAGTACACCCCTCACATTTTTGTAAATATTTTATTATATCTTTTCATGTGATATAATGTCTCCAGCATGTCCAAGCATGTCTCCAGACCTAAACCCTGTTGAGCATCTCAAGGCCAGCAAATTTACACTGTTATACAAGCTGTACACTCACTACTTTACATTGTAGCAAAGTGTCATTTCTTCAGTGTTGTCACATGAAAAGATATAATAAAATATTTACAAAAATGTGAGGGGTGTACTCACTTCTGTGAGATACTGTATATTCAAATAAACACATTTTCACACTAACACAGTATTCCACCTCCAGAATCATAGTCTGATCAGCATCTCCCAGCGATTCCTGCATACACCACCTCAGTCTCCTCTTTATCTCTCTGTAACAAAACAGAAACACACGTTCACATCACTGATGTATTTATCAAGATCATTACTGACCATTTATCTTCCTCCAAATTCTGCCATGAAAATACACTACAGTACAGAATAACGTTAATACATCTCAATAAATTACTTATAGTATCTCCACATTTTGGAGGGTAAAACTATTTTTATGTTATTGATATTATGACATAAAAGTGTCAAACACTGCATTATGGGATACATTTTCACTCCTTATTCTCAGTTGCACTGTTGGATGTTCAGAAAAAGGCGAAATAAAGATGATGTACGGCAACAGAGAAAAGTATAATGTACCGATCATTCATTCAGCAAATAACTTTAAATATCTACTCTTAATGTTGAAATACATTTATTATTATTATTATTATTATTACTATCATTGTATACAGTTTCAGGAAAGTTCTCAATATGTAGTTTAATATGTGATGCCTGCAGTGCTGGAGGCAGGTCTACAGTTCCCAGCATGCACCACGACAGCGTTGGTGAAACTACTTTGAAACGAGCTTGTCAAGCAGCCAAGGTACTCGTTAAAAAAACTGAACAGATAATTACTTAAACTAAATATTACCACAAAATTAGAAGATTGCCTAATTTATACAACATAGGACTCAAAGACATAAAAAGAGAGTAAGCAAGAGAGGAACAAAAGAAAGGAAGTGATCTGAAATAAACAATGACTACACAACAGGCAATATTCACACACAGGATGCAATGTGCCAAAAGCTGGCTCAGCAGGTGCAATACAAGTGTGAAAAATAAAACTGCAATCTGTCGTTTGCACTAATCACTGAAAAACATTGCTTGCTACTGAAAAAAATCGATGGTGTTTTAAATACCGCTGAAGTACTGTTGCACTACTTATTTATGTGCAGTGTCACCATCATTTGTGATCAGGGATAATGACAAAACACACTGACTTAATGAATGCCTTAACTTTCTTGTACTCTGCATAAATATTTCTTTCCACAGATCACAAGAAAAAGCTTTGCACCGAAATAAATGCTCTTACCGATATCTGTGCTTTTCTTTTGTGGAATGTTGTTTCAGAGTAAGTGATCTCTTCTGTACATGTTGTATCTGTTGCAAAAATAATGATAGACATGTTAAAATAAGACGACTCTGAATAAAAAAGATTTGAGTATTATTGTTTTGTGTTCTCTAGAACACTCTTTCACATCATTCTAATGTTAATAATAATTATTATTATATATTTATATATATTTTTTTACAGATGTATAAGCATTAGGTCATACTTGCCTACGTGGTTTACTTCTTTGTGTTTCCTGCAGGTGCAGAAGATCATGACTGCAGCAACAATCAACAGAAACCCAGCAGCGGCAGCAGAGATCAGCACTACGTACAATATGGTTAGGCCGTGTTCTGTAACAGACAAAATGAGCCGTTGCTGTGAATGAATCTGTCAGTCTGATCTACAACAAACGCTACATGAAATATGAGCACTATGAGATCAGCTCAGTAAGTAAATGCTAATATCACCACATGTCCTACCTTCACATGTGTGACAGAGTTGAGTGATGTCCAGATGTTGAGTTTGGTTGCTGATGGGATTGTTGAGCACACAGCTGTAGCTGTTTTTATCCTGATATTCCACCTCCAGAGGTAGAGAGAGACTGATGCTGAGATCAGACACACTGATGCTGGACAATAAACTGTTTCCTTTGTACCAGGAGAGAGTCACATGACCCACATTCACCACTGAACACACCAGTGAACAATTCTGCTGTGATGATGATGATGATGAAGCACAATCTCTGCTGACGACAGGAACAGGCAAATGAGCTGAGAAGAGATATTAGAGAATTAAACTATTTTTACAGTAGAGCAGCATTTTATTTGTCAGAATTTGATGTGTTGAGTTGAAGTTCATTGTGTCAGGCACAGATGTGTTCATATATCAGTGATGACGTTGACAAGCCCTCTCTCAAACAAATTCATATTTAAAATGGAATTAAAGTATCAGTATCAAAGTATTGAATTAGTTGATGAACTTTACATCTCTTCTTCTTTCTAAAACAATGAAACTTAGTTTTATGACCAAATTAGTTTTATGTATTGATTTACAGTTTTACTCTCGTCCCAGACTGAGACTTTCGATTTTCAAATATGAAAATCCATCATAAAAAATATTAATAAACATCTCCAATACTATAATGCTTTAAACTAGTTTTCAAAAATCTATTGTGTGAAAATTATTTCTGTACTATATAATTGTATTTTAAAATGCAATTTATATTTTAGATATAATTTTGTCAAATATTTGATATTTAAATTTTTTATACTACGTATTCACAAAAAATGTAAAATAATTATAACATCAATGTGGAAGTTTTAATGTAAATATCACACAATATATTCACTTTGCTTCATTTCTAATCGAGCTGTAATTGTCAAATTATGCACATAGAGTGAAAATCCTATTCAGCTTTTTATGTATTATGTAGTCAGCAATATTATTTCAGGTTTAAAATGATTAAGATGCTTATTTTTAGCATTTTTTATAGTCCACAGCCAAAGTTGATCATTGAAGCAACACTCACACATCAAATAGGGTCAAGAACGTAAGTAATTCTCTACTCACCATAGACAGTAAGATTGAATGTGCTGAGCGGCGTCTCTGTTCTGCTGCTGGTTACTTTATAAAGTCCAGAGTCTGTGGTTGTGGTGTTTGTGATGCTCAGAGATCCAGTCTGATGATCCAGCTGCAGTCTGTCTCTGAATCTCCCAGCAGCATTATTATAATGACACTTGCTCTTATTGTTCTTTCTGTTGATTTGAGCGATGAGAATGTTGTTGTGTCCAAATCTCCACAGTATCTGATCATTTCTCTGTATATCAGTATCATCAGTGTTTAGAGTGACAGAATCTCCCTCCATCACCGACACGGACTTCACTTCATCAACACCAAACACACCTAATAAACAAATATGTACTCTTTGAAGCTATTTAAAAATTCTCATTGCAAAACAATTACTGACTCTGCACTCAATGTATAATTTCAATGAATAATTCAATAATGTGCAATAAATAAACCCTTTAATGTGAGTGGAAGAGAAAAAAAAAAAGTCAAAATGAACATGATGAGCACAAAGATGTTTTAGTCTGTTAGTCTGATAAAACACGAAAATCAATGTTGGAAATAATAAAAATCTGAATTATGTTGATGCGGATAAATAATAATATACATAGAACTGAAATCATAAAAATGCTTACCAGCCAGACTCCATGAGCACAAACAGATGAAAATAAATGTCTCAAACATTTTCTTCAAATAACAACAGACCTGAATTCTGAAAAGACGACATTTAAATCAAAACACAACGGAAATGTTGTAATAAGTTTTTGAAAGCAGTAGCGACAGAAGAGCTGGAGAGCAGTGTGCTGTTGGTCTGTAGTGAAGTGGTTTTGTGAAGCTCTGCAGTAAGTGTGAATAAACTGCTCCAGTAACACCTCCCACACAGTCTGTATGTCTTCTCACATGGTTTTCACAGACAATAGACCCTAGAAATTAAGTTTAAGAACAATTTCTAGTGGCTCATGTTCCCATTTCTCTCAGTTCAGCATGTTAAGAGGTTGCTTTGTAAAGGTTTCTGAACATTTCTTATTAAATCACTGACGTTACTGACATTCAGTTCAAAGCTAATTTAGCAGTGCTTGCTAACATTAACACTGAGCTGCATTGTCGCCTCACAGCAAGAAGGTCCCCGTTTTGGGTCTCGGCTGAGCCAGGAGGCTTTTCTGTGTGGAGTTTGCATGTTCTCATGGATGTTCTACTTACAGACAAAAGAAAACAGAAAGCAAACTCTTTCTAAAGACGTGGTTTAAACGTTCACATTTGATATTATTTAAAGAAAATGAAGCTCTAAGCCAGTTCTGGTCATGGACGTCCCCAGCACTGCACATTTTGAACGTCTCCCTTGTTTAAGTGTGTCTTGATACTGAAGTATCTTGCTCCTATAAATATTGCTTCACCCCTGGAAATATGTAGAAATATTACGAAGGACGTTAACAGAGGCCAGAGACGGGACACAATAAAGACAGAGGCAAAGAGGAGAGAATAAACGCGCTAGCAGAGAAAATACTGTACAGGCAGAGCAAGCTCACTGTTTCCGATGCTCGAAATATTCAAAGAAAATCCTAAATATTGAACTGGGGGTTGGGGTTTATATGAAAGTATCACTGAAGTAACTGTCTGTCTTCAGAAAAGTTTCGATGGCATTTTCTTTTCATCTTACCTCCATATATTATACATATCAAAGTATTGTTTATAAGCGCAGCGCTGCTTTGTTTACAGCGACAACCAAGGAATCGCTGCTGTTCCATAAGCGCCACCTGCTGTCAGAGAGTGAATTTGCATTTTTAGTATAATTTACCAAAGCTGAAGCCAGACCACTCTGTTTGCTTTAAATCTTGTAATTGTACAATCTAATTTAAATTTAAAAAACTGCTCATGCTACATGTAGCATCTTTGTTTGGACTGTAATTAAAATGCAGTGCTACCGCTCATTTCAGACGGCTACAGATTTTTTTAAAGGCCAGTTCAGCCTGCAATAGAGCAAATAAACATCTTTCTCATGTACTCTTTCATTCTTTTTTGTCTCTTGCTTAAAGGAAAAAAAATCAGCAATAAGTATCAGAATCGGCATCAATTCTTCCAAACATTTGCACCCCACCTTCATATCAAGTTATTACTAAATTTATTTAAGGGACATGCCAACTCCTGAATCACTGTTGACTACAAATGTGTTCAGAGTGATTTTTTTAAAATTTTCTTTCATAAGAGCTTGACTCAAAAAAGCAAAAAGAACTCCACTATCCTATAACTAAATGATCTAACAAATATAAGCACACAAATCAATTGAAGTGACCTGCATCTTAACCAAGGCTTAAAACATATGTTTAATTAATAGTATCACAATATTTTGTGTGATAAAATGTGGAAAGCAATATCAATAGAACACTAGAATAAACTAATAAAACATAAAATAGGTCAAAAATTGGCAGCTTTATCTTATTTAACTCAACACTCTGTCAGTGGACATAATAAAGCTTTTATTCAGATAACTACAGGTGTAGTGAATAAAATGTCCCCCAAAATAAATTTTAGAGTTAAATGCATTGGTTTGATGCACTTTGAGAGCAAACCAATTTGAGGGACTAAACTGAACAGAGTAAAGGCCTTTGCATTGACTTGTATCTGGACTTTAAATTGGACTTTAATTATTATTATTATAATTCCTAAGATATGCAGTATTACTGTAATACTGCACTGTAAAATAAATATAAATTAAAAAATGAATATTTCACAGTAAGTATATTAGTAAAATTACAATATTTGTGTTTTCATTTCTTCACTTGCAAGAGTTTAAGCATCAAGCTTTTATTTTGTCATAAAACAATGTTTTATGTCATGATGAAAAGTTAAAAAAATATTTGCCAGTTTATTATGGCCAGATTACGGCAGGCCGCCACAAGCTAGACAATTAACGGGAAACACAGTGCCACAGACGTACCTGAATATGGCTGAAAGAGTTCAGTGTTGTTGAGATGTTGCGTCTGGTTGCTGATGGGATTGTTCACCACACAGCTGTAGAAATCATCCAGACACTCCAGATGTACAGAGAGACTTCTGCTGAGATCAGACACACTGATGCTGGACAATAATCTGTTTCCTTTGTACCAGGAGAGAGTCACATGACCCACATTTAACACTGAACACAGAAACGCACATTTGGACACTGATGATCCTGATGATGATGATTAATTTGAAGGATTTTGTGGAGAGTAAATGGTGATGACAGGAATGGGTAGATGAGCTAAAAAAATATGAGAGAATATATCTGATACGGTAAGTACCAGAGCTGTGATTCAGGGTAAATAAAACCATAGTATATCAATGACACTAAAATAACACTGCTGTGATATTTGTAAGTTGATACATAGATTAAAGAAACATGCTTTAATAAAATTTTATTTATTAAAATATGTCATTATAAAAATGCATAAAATGCACAAATGATTCTGTGCATATCACTTCAGAATCATATATCAATGACTATATCTACTCACCATAGTAAGATTGAATGTGTTGAGCAGCGTCTCTGTTCTGGTGCTGGATACGTTGTAAAGTCCAGAGTCTGTGCTTCTGGTGTTTGTGATGCTCAGAGATCCAGTCTCATGATCCAGCTGCAGTCTGTCTCTGAATCTCCCAGCAGCATTATTATCATAAAACCTGCTCTTATTGTTCTTTCTGTTGATTTGAGCGATGAGAATGTTGTTGTGTCCAAATCTCCACAGTATCTGATCTTTTCTCTGTATAGCAGTATCATCAGTGTTTAGAGTGACAGAATCTCCCTCCAACACCGATACTGACTTCACTTCATCAGCACCAAACACACCTGATGAACAAATGCACATATTTATAGCGAATTTGCAGATTCACCAGATTTAGAGTTTAAGTCATTGTAAGTAAATTAATATTATAAGTAAGGGGAGACCGGGTATGGTTGTAACACTTTTTGCTTCAGCATCTGTAAGCTAGAATATTCAAACTTTTATACAATGTACCCACATTTGTGTACTACAAAAGGCACCCATTGAAACCTCTGCAAGAATATCACACCCCGTATAAGTTGATGTCAAATACATGGAGTGCCTTTGTTACAATCTACCCCACTGCTGGGGTAGGATGTAACACATACTGGGGTAAGTTGTAACAATTAGTCAAAAGAAGAAAAAAACAGAAGCCACACCATGCAATATGCTACAAAAAATAGGTTTACTGAAACAATCCAAAAGAAGAACCCATTACAATGTCTTTCTCTGTGACTGAACATAACTCAGCTCCACTTTCTGTCTAACTCACAAGTGTGAGCATGTGTGTGTAAATTCAACTAGAACAAACTTGCTTAACGGTATTTATTTATTTATAACACTTATCTCACCGACTCATACACACACTTCATCCCTTTCACACATATGTACTTACCTGCCTCCCACACACAAAACACTCACTCACATACACATGATATTTTTAATGATATACACTGATCACAGAACCCTTCACAGTGACTTGGTTGAGCAACCACATCATTTCACGAAGTCTTGCTGGATAACTCTGCGTATGTGACAAATTATCTTTGTATCATTCTATATTAATGGAAAGATCACATAATGATTGTCAATGTTTGTTTGTCATGTTTTACAGCATTCTATGCATTTTCGGTCCTAGCTTGATACAGAGCAGTTCTGCCAGGATGAGGGGTCCTGCTGCAGTTTCACCAGTAAAGAAAATTACTCGTTACAATTCACTTGGAGGACCACATAAGCCATGAAGTGGCGCATGGAGGTATGGTGGGAGCATTTCTTTAGATACTGTATTGATTTATAATTTTTTGGTTTAAAATCATAAATATTTTTGTATGTAGTATGATGAGGTAAATACTATTTTGTGGACACATATGCCCCCCAACACACATGTATTCTCTATTTTTAACAGGAGCGCCAAGAGGACATGACGTGGAAGTTTGTAAGGGACATAAGGTCCAGTGTAGTGCTGGATACAGAGTCACCGTGAGTTATTCCGTGGGGAGGTGACAGGACCTGCCTTTCTCCAGATAGACAGTAAAAATCAACAGAATGCCATCAAAGATTACCTGGGGGAGAATCGGATGAAGCAAGAGATGTCTTTTTATTCATCTCTCAGGACCTGAAGTGGGACATCCATATTCACTCCATTGTCAAAATGGCCCAGCAGAGGTTGTATTTCCTTCACCAGCTGAGGAAGTTCAACCTGCCACAGGAGCTGCTAAAACAGTTCTCCTCTGCAGTCACTGAATCCGTCCTCTGCACTTCTATAACTGTCTGGTTCAGCTCAGCTACCAAAACTGACCTCAGAAGACTACAGAGGGTAGTCCGGACCACTGAGCGAATCATGTGCAATACCCAAATCCATACTTATATTTATTATACATATGTTATTGATTTAACATATCTTACATCTAGCCACATTCCCTTGCATAATTTGTGTATAGCACATCCGTACATTCAATATATTATCTATAGTCTTTTTGTCTATTGTGTATTGTTTTCACATATTTATTTTTAATCACTTGTTTATTTCGTTATCTGTGTCTTGTCACTTGTTATCCTGTCTGTGCACTGGAAGCTTCCGTCACCAAGACAAATTCCTTGTGTGTGTGTAAGCACACTTGGCAATAAAGCTCTTTCTGATTCTGAATTCTGCTTTCGATTCTGATTCTTTGAGTATCCGGAGGA